GGCTTATCAGTAATTAACGAGTAATAACCTCATATTGCACCCGGTTTTTGTACCGAAATTCGTTCTTTGAAGTCAAATTCGTTGCTCGCCAAATTTCTGTTTTTTTGGCATTTCCGTATTTTAATGTATTCGAGCGTTCTGTGAACCCGAATGGTTTCATTTTCCGGCACTTCCGGGCTTCGCGTTTTTTGAGCTTCTCGCTGAAAGCGCTGAAACGCCTTTTCGTAGAATTTTTCCTTATGGATTTTGCTTGTTCCCTTTTTTACGCCCGATTTTCCATGACATCGGAAAGTTTTTGGCTGCTGATGAACGAAACTGATATGGGTGGCGTGCAAAAGCTGATGAGTCATCCCAATCAACCATGTGGTTGCCTACACAATGCAAACAGTTCACAACACCACGGAATGACACCTCGGACCAGGGTTCAAACCAGGGCCAATCCTATGTTGCGACAAGTACCAACGGGGGGGGGTCGTATTTTGTTGAGTTTGTAGGTGGGGGGTCGTATTCGATGTAATCTTAGAATTCATGGGTGAGTTTAGGGCGCGTAGTGTGAAGGAGCGGGAAAACTTTTTTGGTGTGTCGACTGGTCCCAGAACTAAATGCAATAGAAACAGCGACCATGATGGCGAGGGTGGTGAAGGGGGGTCGTGAAATTTTGGATTGGAAGGGGGGTCGTAAAAAATTTCCGAAAAGTCGCAACGGTAGGACCGACCCTGCTCCCAGGTCAGCTCACCAGAGCTGAGCGATCCTTGAAGCCTATGGCTGTGTGTGTGTTGGGTTTAGGTCTAGGCCTTGGGTTATGCTTACACATTGGCTTATGCTTGGGCTTATGGTTGGGCTTATGCTTAGTCTTAGGCTTGCTACGAACAAATTAGTGGTCCTAATTTTAGGTCACTTGACCTGAGGAACAGATAAACGCACCCAGTTACGGAGTACGAGTTGGTAGATCTAGGTGGGATCTGAGACAGGATTTTATCTCAGACCCTCCATGTTGCGGCGACGTCACTTGCCGTCACCCAACTTCGATAGTTCGAAAAACGAGAAAATTTGGACGCTGTTTTGTTTCTATTTTTCATTTTTTAAGTCATATTATTTTCAGAAAGGTAAATGCTGCACTAAAAGCTCAGCTCGATAAGTTGTGGCACACTACTTCCATCTACTATACCGAACCGATTCTGGAATACGCTCAGAAGCTCACATCGAAGTTCCCTAGTCATATGAAGTTATTGTCGTCGATTGTCTCACACCCGGCGCAACACGTCAGAGGAAAGCCGAGAATCTGCCTTGCTAAGTTGCTGAATAATATATGTTAAAATAGAAGAAAGCACGGCGTAACTGTCTCGCATAGAAAGCACGTGTGCTAAAGCCTTACTAACGGTTGTAAGACCTTAGAGATGCCACTCGTTATCTGTGCACGGGAATGCCACATCTGTATCGTCCACGAGCGATCCTCACAAACGGAGGGAACTCGATCACCAGACTTCTGCCGGGTCTGCTTTCAAAAGCAGCTATAACGACAAGGAGGAGCGCATCGTGGAGATTGCCACGCGATCCATTTACTGGCTGCAAGAGTCGATGTGTTGATGTATCACAACGAAATCGTGCGCTGGTTTGCTGAGCACGGCTCTAAAAGCAACTCCGCCCAAATAGCGACCCGCCATCGTATATTTGGACGATGCTGTGTATGCCAAATGCCCAGCATCTCGATCAAAATGGATCCGATAGGAGTGCCTTCGAACGCGTGCGGGACAAAACTCTGCATAGCTTCACTTTCTGAAGTGTGTCTGCTGATGAGTGGAAACCAACGCGCTTAAAAGAAGGTCCGTTGTGTTGTTCGACGATTTCTCCGCTTTTTTCATACTGCGCCTTCCATTTAGAACCACCACGTTACAATTAACCCTTCTTGGAATTTGTCTGTGGTCGCTGGCCTTTAGCACAGTATCCGTAGAAGAAGTCGAAGTGGAATGAGATCATTAGTCACCAGTACGGTAGAAGAATTAGAACTCAATTTGCTTGAACAAATAATCTCGAGCTGTATTCCTATCTGAGCCCTTTATTGAAAATGTCGACTAACCCCCCCCCCCCTTCTGTCGCAGTATACCTGTTCTCGCTTGGCCGTATTAGCAAATCCACTCTCACAGGGTCAAACGTTCACGTTCGCACATTCCAAAAAATTTGCTCGACCCCTTCCCCTCTTCAGAGACTCTTATGCGACTCCTCGACCACACCGTGTAGGACTCAAAGCTCCCCTCAAACAACCACCTCTTCCATCCCGGAGACTGCACCCCTTCGCCTATCATGGCTGTTTCTATAGCATTTGATTAAAAACTATATCGACACGTGCGTCCGCCGCCCTCCCTTCAAACAGTCGCGGGGGTGCAGTCGTCAAAAAACCTGTCAAATAGCAACCCCTTTTAACAACCACCCACCGTTGTTCACACTCCTCCAACGATAATTAATCTCACTCAACCTCAAAATGCGACCTCCCTCTTCCTCCTGAAACCACAATGCGACCCCCTCGTTCGAACAGTGGCCGAACGGACGGGTTGACGATTGCTACTCTACTTCTCCACTGCTTACCTGCACCCTTTCCTCAATCTCATCTTGGTATTGTCTCTCTGATCTCATGTGTGACGCCAGTTATGGGGTCGTCCAAGTGAATGCCTAGAACTGCAACTTACAAAACCGAATTAATCTTTCCTATTCTAGGTATGCTTCTTCACCAACTCCGGATCCGAAGCGAACGATCTCGCACTGACCTGGCCAGGGTTCATACAGGACGATTTGATGTGCTTTCTATGCGTAACGGATATCACGGAATGACACAAGCCGTGCATTGCGAGCAGACAAATATAGGCTAATTTTCACAAGTTTGGCACTCAACTACTTGGGCCAGTATTGACGGGTGGCAGCTTTATCGATTTTGTTCCATCTAATGAAGGGCCTTTATTCTCCGATGACAAGTTATAACAATGGGTGGGATGGTTATGCTGTGAAGATCCATTCTGACGGGCGAAATGATGCTAACAATAAGGATCAGCACATCTGAACGGTTGGGTTTGTAGGCTACTACAGTAGCCGGCAGAGGTCAAACAGGGGTTTAAAGGACGAATTCACGATGAAAAAGCAACCCATTTCAAATTAACCTAGGGATGGTGAGTGGTACACGAAAGAAGGAAGAACCATGAGAAACGGCCCAGAACCCGAGAAATGGTACCCTTCCTTGCCCGTTGATTTCGAGCATTGATGCGACTCTCATCGCTGTGCCCTCTTCAACACTACGCTCTCTCAGCTATCTAATCACTCGCCACGTATTGAACTACGGCGAGTGATCAGATGATCGGTGGGCGGAGATCGCCGGACCCGCCAGCTTTGAGGCATGATAGGTCGCCGAGGTCAAATTTTTCCATGCGAATTGCGCGTCAGTTCGCACCCTCAGGAGGTCCGTGGGTCCCTCAACTAGGTCAGTTTCCCTTTCTTCGACCTTCATTCTAATCGTGAATTCCTCCTTTAAATCCATTTCCATTCTTCCAGAAATCCTTTGCAATTTAGCGGTTCTGGAGTGAAAGGCAGAGGGAGTTTGAGAGATCTCAGTAGACATAGAACCGGGTGCAGACGCCACTGATTTCCAAAAGAAAAACCGCGGACGGGTTTGGAAGAATTTTCGTAAGCTTTTTTTCATGAACTGGTTGCAATACACCAATGGGAGGGGTAACTGTAAGGGTTCCTGCTCGAAGAAATTGATACTTTTCTTATTGCACCTCCGTCAGAAAGATAAAGGCCAGTTAGGGATAAGCGATAGAAAGACAGAGAATAAGGCTTTCAACGCCGATCAGTTCTTGTTGAGATGCGCTTCCATTTGAGATCACTGAATCTGACAGCCTTTAGAAGGAACTGTGGGGCTATCCGACTTATGAGATTGTGTTTTTATCCTCCAAGGTGAGCACGATCCAATCAAGCAGCTGCAGAAAGATGAAAAAATTTAGTTGGCGTGCACGAGATCCGATCCGAAATTTGATCCTGGCCATGCGTACGCTAGTCCGCACCATTTGCACAATTCCACGCGGACCAAATAACAATGTTACTTATACTGACAATTGCAGGAACCTGGAAACAGCCGATGCCGTCCGGTTTCGGTGTTTTGAAGGCGATGGCAGCCGATCCATATTCAGGACCATGGGGAGGAAAGAAGTGCCGCGACTCGCCAATTCAGACGAAGCGAGACTGCTCATGCAAGGATGGCGAGTGCAAAGCCACAGATAAGTGCGTTAGTATAGGAATACTTCACCAGTTAGTCAGAATAGGGTGCTAACTCAGTTGGGGGGGGACCAAGCGGCGGTGCTTTGTTCGTCTGCTCCTAAAGGCTTAGTCCCCGATGGCGCGTATTTCGAAACTGCCACGTGGTGGCGAAATAGTAACTGCCCCTGGGACTAAGCCTTGGAGGAGCAGACGAACAGAGCGCCGCGTGGTCCCCCCCCCAACTAAGTTAGCATCCGGAATAGTGTAGGAATGTTTTACTGGGAAGTACCAAATATCACAACAATTCAAGAATTCATAAAGCAATAAAGTATATATAATAAGTATCCTAGCGTTATGCGCAGATATTTTATTAAAGGACGAATTCACGATGAAAAAGCAACCCATTTCAAATTAACCTAGGGATGGTGAGTGGTACACGAAAGAAGGAAGAACCATGAGAAACGGCCCAGAACCCGAGAAATGGACCCCTTCCTTGCCCGTTGATTTGAGCATTGATGCGACTCTCATCGCTGTGCCCTCTTCAACACTACGCTCTCTCAGCTATCTAATCACTCGCCACGTATTGAACTACGGCGGCGAGTGATCAGATGATCGGTGGGCGGAGATCGCCGGACCCGCCAGCTTTGAGGCATGATAGGTCGCCGAGGTCAAATTTTTCCATGCGAATTGCGCGTCAGTTCGCACCCTCAGGAGGTCCGTGGGTCCCTCAACTAGGTCAGTTTCTCTTTCTTCGACCTTGTCTGCTTGCCCTTCTCTGCTGCGACGTCATTTTGACATCACCAGCTCGCGCTCACTTCCGCGCCGCCGATGAGTTTTTTCCCCTGAACACCCCACCAAATACCTCTGAAAGCTGTTGTGATCGCTGCCTTTGAGACAGTCTCAAGCTGCGATGCAGGCTGCAGGACCTACTCCTAGGTAATCTTCGCGTTCCTTTCGCCAGTTGACAGGGCTCTTCTTGACTGAGTTCGCTTTTTTCGTCGATGGATGGAACGAGGTCGAGCCGGGGTTGTCTCAGACTTGCTCACCTCGTTTGTACGAAAAAGCATTTATTGAATGAAATTCTAACGAGAGCTACTTAAGGCGCTGAAGATTTGATGACTGAATTTTGCTACGGCTTTTGCAGTATTGCGCCAATTTGATGAGAACGCAGCGGTTACGACTTCCCGCCGCCACCGGTCCTGCTGCCGTCCTTGCTGAGTCCATCCAAGGCGTGGGTGGCACGATGCAGTTCACTAAAGGGTGAGCCTATAGTAAGGAAGTCCGTCTTCACACGTATCAATCAGATGTTCAGATTTTTGAAACGCGCTTTTGAAGCCGTGCATAAGCGCGGTGGACTTGCGATAACCGACAGGTGTCGAAGACAGGTTTTGGCCGTCTTGATCGCATTCGGGATTTGAAGTGACATATTTGCGGTTTTTTTTTTCAGCAAAGCTATGTATGTTATTATGTTTCTGTGAGATTCCCTGTTGAAACTCCCACGCTTCAATAACCTTCAAAAAGCGAGAAAGTGTCGGGTGCAGACCATGCACCACAAGTGACGACGGCCTTCACAAAATGTTAATGTTTTCTGCCAATGAAATGATTAGCCTGTTGCAGTTGTATTCTATCGATTGTCACTAATTACAACTATCATTTACCAGAAATCAGCTATCACTATGAACAACTTCTAACCAGATTTACTTGGAGGCCGTCGTCAGTTGTGGTGTTTGGTCTGCACCCGACACTTTCTCGCTTTTTGAAGGGAGGTTAATCTCGCAGCTAAAGAAATAACTCATGGGCAACTTCTAGTACAGTAGGCTGAACAAGTATGAAGCATTCGGAGTTGGTGGAACCGCTCTTCGGATGCGCCACTCCTTCATTTTCCGTTCAAAAC